CAGACCTTGGAATATATGTTACTATTCAGTAGAACCACATCGCTACTTCACTACAAACACAAAATAATAACATAGGATTTGACATGCAATAATGAAAGTGACAATCTTGTGTTAGGATAGAAATACAGCTAAAATCAATATACTCCTACTCAAGCTCCCATTTTAAAGAACTTTTTTCTAATTGATTCACGTGAGTAGCAGAAAAAATAATAACCGCACAAAGAGTAATGATTGATATATTTGGTAAAAAAAACAATAAATTTTCATGTAAATCAACTTAATTATTGAGTTTATGATGAATACAAGATTAGATTGGCACCACTTCCTGAAACTGAAAGCAACCAGAATTAACCAAAATGACACCAAGGCATTGGGCAAGCATGTGAAGGGGTTTGGTTATACAGTCAGAGGTTAGGTAGTGCCTGCCCAAGGTTGTTAATGCTTCTTTGTCTCATGCATCGGCTGTTTTCTCATTGCTAGGTCCAGAAACCTCACCTTTTATATTAAGGTCATGTCTCATGTTTTGGTTCCATAAAACACTTTTCTATATAGAAGTTGGTGAGGCCCAAACTGACTTCTATACGGGCCAAAGTTACCAAGGTCCAAACCGACTTCTATATTAGTTCGCATCTTAGACATGACCTTATCTTAAACTAGCTTATTGGTTTTTACTACAGTTTTTCAGACTATTTTGTGGCCCCTCCTTGAATTCATCCAATATTTCAGATTTAGAACGAGAAATCATATGTTACCCTTAGGTGTACAGATGACTTTAATGTTACATTTTTTTCAAAAAGTATGATTTAAAGGTGATATATTAATTAATTTGAATAATTCAATTACTAATTAATTTGATAATTAAAAATGTCCAATTGTATTGAAATAGTGTCGAATTCCAAATTGTATTTATAATATTCAAAATGGCTTATACGAATTTTGAATATAAAACTGACATGAGTAACTTTTAAAACAGTATAAGTGATAACATAAATTTACCTTGAGCCGAAGCAAGACTATTTTATTTGGGTCCCTTATAATATAAAATATAAAATTCAATATGAATGTCAAAATAGCATCCATATATGAGAATGATTAAGAAGAAAAAATGAAAAAGCAAAAAGTATATAGCCTCTTCCTCTCAATGAGGGAAATTGAGGTGTTATCTAACGCTGCTGCTATACATCAAATGCAGGGGATTGCAGCCTTTTGATTAGCGACTCAGCTTCTTCAAATTGGTCTATGGCTCAGACATTGTTGTTCCTGTCGGAAGACATGTCACAACTGCTACAACTTGGTGCATCCAACACGCCAACGGGACTAGCCACCTCGACTCTGTCCTCTTTATGAGGACACGTGTCCACAATGTGCTCCTCCATTAGTTGTTGACAACATTTCACCATTTCCTGTCGTACGCAAACATTATAATAGATAATATTTAATGTGTAAAAAATTTTACGTTAATAATTTATTCATATTATATTTTTAAAAATGTAAGAAACAAAAAAAATATATATGCAAAGATCAGAAGTTGTACAATTTAAACATATTAATTAAATTTCCATTTTTCGAATACAATAATGTGAGTTTTTAATTAAGCATTGATTAGAAGCATTACGAAAGAATAAAAAGTGCAGAGCATAGTACGTTGTTTAGTCTACGATGAAAAGAGTGGGGCAAAGGCGCCTGGCCCAAAACAATGGCAGTTGAACAAAGCACTGCGGCGGCTGCTATGGTTGACGGTGCAAAACCCAAAAAGTCGATCACTGTTCAAATTCCATAATCCAAAAAAACATCAATTAAATAATTAAATAAATTCCAATTTAAAACAGAGTAGTGTTTGTGTTATGTTACCACGAACTGTAGAGATAATGAGATCAGAGGCAGTGAAGAATAACCGGTTCATTAACTGGGTTTCTGTTTTTGAAGAAGAAGAAGAAGGTAGGTTGGTGATGAAATAATGAAGATAATCGAATGGCGTTACAGAATGCAGACTCCAATTAAGATTAGCCATCACCCATAGCTCCATTCTCTGAATCATTTTTGGTTGAATAACGAATCTTGGTTCAAACAATTGCAGGTCCATTAAATACGGCACTTCAGGTTCCTCCATTTTCGCCGCTAAAGAAAAACACGCCACTGATACTAGCTGAAACTCCCACCCATTTTCTCTCTGCAAAAACAACTTAATATATTATTACATAAATAAACAATTAATTAATTAATTAATTTCTGATTTCTCAATACCGGAAGAGAAGTACAAGAGAGAAAACGGTCCAAGTAATTGATAGAGAGAAACGCCGTTACTGGACGGAATTGATAACAAGCGTGAACCTGCATTGTCAAATGTCAACTATGAAATACACACTCAAAAGTTTCGTTACTGTTTCCAACGTGAGACAAATAGTGTACCTTTAAGATCCAGTTAACGGCGTCTAACCGTGCCGTCATGTTCACTAATCGATGGCGACAGCGATGGAGATAGTCTCCTTCCGGCATGTGATTGATCTCTGTCTCGATAAGTGAAGTGATGGTTGCCTCATCTACTGGTGGAGAAAGGTGGTCAGAAAATATTTCGCCGGAGTCTTCACCGTATGGTAAGTTAGCGGCGGTGGAGTGGTCCAGTAACGTAGACATTACGGTGGTGGGTTCTAGTAATGTTGGGTTTGGTCATTGCTCTTATAGATTTGTGTTTGACATATTAGTCTCTTTGAATCTGTTGTCAATTTGTACGAGTATGTCTGCCATGAGTAATAATTTGGATTATGTCAATTTTTATACAAATAATATAACTCACTTGAAACAGAATAATTTGTGAATTATTTATATTTCTTTTAATTAGTATTAAAAAATTATTTTTATGTAATAAATTTATTGTCTATCATTTTTTTCAGTTTAAAATTAGCAATTATGGTTATACTTTTTTCAAATTCCAACAATAATTAGAGTAATAATTACATAATTATAGTAATAATTATAAAATTTATTGTCCATCATTTTTTTCAATTTAAAAATAGTAATTATGAATATACTTTCTCCAAATTCCTAAAATAATTAGAGTAATAATTACAAAATTATCTCCAAATAATTATAGATATAGTTTCTCCAAATTCCTACAATAATTACAGTTATAATTACGTAGTTACAATAATAATTACAAAATTATCTCCAAATTCTAATTTATAATAATTACATAATCACAGTAATAATTATAAAATTATCTCCAAAAAATTTCAGTTTAAAATTATATATTATATATATACTTTTTCCAAATTCCAACAATAATTAAAGTAATAATTATAAAATTATCTCTAAATAATTATGGATATAGTTTCTCCAAATTCCTACAATAATTAAAGTCATAATTATGTAGTTAGTAATAATTATAAAATTATCTCCAAAAAATTTTAGTTTAAAATTAGTAATTATGAATATAATTTCTCCAAATTTCAATAATAATTAGAGTAATAATTACGTAATTACAGTAATAATTACAAAATTATCTCCAAAAAATTTGAATATAAAATTACATATTAATTCCTACCATGACTATTTATACAAAATTATCCCCAAATTCCTATTTAATATATAGAAATTTTTAATATCTCCACCATTATAGTAATTTTATACAAAAATAATATAACTCACTAATATTAATTCTTGAAACGGAAGTATTTATGAACTATTTACATTTCTTGTAATTAGTATTAAAAAAATATTTTTATGAAATAAATTTATTGTCTATCATTTTTTCAGTTTAAAATTAGTAATTACAGAAATATTTTCTCCAAATTCCAACAATTATTAGAGTAATAATTAAGTAGTTACAATAATAATTACAAATAATAATTACATAATTATCATAATAATTACAAAATTTATTATCTATCATTTTTTTCAATTTAAAATTAGTAATTATGAATATACTTTATCCAAATTCCTACAATAATTGCAGTCATAATTACGTAGTTACAGAAATAATTACAAAAATTTCTTCAAATTTCTATTTATAATAATTACATAATTATAGTTATAATTAAAAATATTATCTCCGAATTCTTATTTATAATAATTACATTAACAATTACAAAATTATCACCAAAAAATTTCAGTTTAAAATTAGTAATTATGAATATACTTTCTCCGAATTCCAACAATAATTAGTGAAATAATTACGTAATTACAATAATAATTAAATAAATTTATTGTCTATCACATGTGACCTTAGTAAGCTTTTTCTCTCTAGTGAGAATACTAAAGATAAAAGATAAAGAAATATACACATTTAAATTATAGTGAATATTGAAGAAATGACTCTAACAAATTAATACTTAATTATGACAGTGTCTGCCCTACATCCTCACCAATAGGTACCATAAAATTAAAAAATATATAATTTAACATCTTCTAGACTAAATTAATATTAAATAAGTATAAAAAACATGAGCTATTGTTGGGTAGCCTGACTATTCAGTGGGAAGAAAGTCAATCAGTATTATTCTGCAAAACCTGATAAACAATAACATAATAGGTGGGAAAAGAGTGTGAGTTTAGAGAAAGATGTATAATCATTAGAAAGTAATGAACCAGATTTAATGAGATAAATTTGTTGGAAAAAACACATCAAAATTAATGAAAGACAATGACTATGAGTAAGCAAAACATAAAACAAATACAAAAAAATTTACGTTGAAGTAAAAATCATTATTCTCCTATGAGATGTTAAATATCAAGAAAATAAAAAAATAAAGATCAAAACATTCTCGTAACTTAAAAAAAGCATTTCATTTATTTAAAAAAATTAAAGTAAAGAACATGAAAAACATACATTTGAGATAAGTATGAGATGTTAGAAACATTCGTATAAATTAAAAATGTTATATTGAACTCATAAAAAATATTATGTTGAAAGCATACAAAAAATGTTATATTGAAGTAAAAATTAAAAATAAAAAGTTTTACCATAAACAAAAGATCTTGTTTTACAAATAAAGATTCCCAAAGTTTTACATATTTACCCTTGTAAAATACATGTGTCAAAATTGTGAAAGTCTATTTTTGTAATTTCACCGGCCCAATATATTTTTATTAAGACGAGATAGTAGAAGGTTGAGGTGTTTTGTATTTAGTACATTAATTAGTGCGCATGTAAAAATGGAGAGAGAGTGGGGAAACGGTTTCTGAGTTTTGAATTGGAGAGAGAATAGATGAGGGGACTGGGGGCTATGTATGTATTAATGGCTTATCGGAAGTGACATTACGGGATGCTGATTTATCTGTCGCTATTCACTGCTTTACTCCACCAAATCATTTACTTTTGCATAGGGATGACAGTTCCAACTTAATTTGAATGACGATGGAGGTGTTCCCGAAAAAAGAATCCTCTCTTTAAAAGTTCAGTATGGAAAGAGTCCTAAGAGAATAAAGGCATTGCTTGGATAATCACAAAACAAGTCAAAGCTTCAACACTTTACAAAGTCTTCAACCCCTCTCTTGGTATTAGGTTTTCTTCAACCCCTCTTTTAAACAGCCCTTCAAGCTTCAACACTTCAACCTCACTTTAATAATTTCCTCCACACTTCATTCGTCACAATCTAATTACACCCAAATTTTGCTTCTTCATTTTACTATTACCCAAATCAATATAAACCCAAAGTTTCATTCTTTCATTGCAGGTTGCTTGTATCTCTAATATAAACCCCAATCTACGGTAATGCTTTGTTTCATTCTTTTGTCACTTTTTGTTTGTTTTACTTTCACCAATTTTGGATAAAAGAAGTTTACTGTTTCTATATATTGTATTCTTTCTTATTGTTTTACTTTCACCATTTTGTATTTGACATGTTACAACTTTAGGAATGTACTGGTTAGGAACGTTGATATGTTGAATTTCTGTCATTTATTTATATTTTGTATTTATTAAGTGATATTTTTGAATTGATATATGCTTTGAATTTTAGATTTAGATTTTGTTAAAGAGTTAAAGTTGTTTGTTTTTGTGAATTTAGAGTAAATTAATGAATATAAATTATAAATTTGAATATCTATATATTTGAAAATTTTATGTTATAGGTTTACATATATAAATATAAACATGTATGTCCGGTTTAACTGGCATGCTGTTTAATTACTGTACCACTAGTTGAACCACTATACCAATATATCAGTACCCTGGTCGGTTTGATAACTTATACGGTTTTAATTTGTTGCTAGAGAGACCTTGTATTTTGTATACCGGAAGAGATCTTGTGTACTCACAATCAGGAGTCAAAAGAGGCTGTGGTAAGAATGGTTCGTGGAAAGGCGTGTTAAACTTGTAGGCCTATAATCTAATTAGTTGTAGTGATTCTATAGCGCCAACGCCGTTACTGAATGGATGTAGTCCGAGACCATAATAAAATCTATATGTCCACACTCTTAACCTTTAGTGTGATAGTGTCCTTATATTGTATTTGTAATTTTGTCGAAACTAATGGTCATGTAATCTAGTGTGTGTCAACTTGTCTTAACATCATATGTCCACACTTTGCTGTGGGTGTTTATTAACTCGTCTTTAAGTTTTTTTTGGTACATCGAAAATTAAATTCGTCTTAAGCCAATCTTGTGTGTATGCTTTAATATATTTGTTCAAGCTAGTTCAGTGATATGTATACTCAAACACTCGTATAATAATGATAATATATCATAAAAAATTAAAATATATTATCACACAAGCAAATAAATTATCTATTACCGTCATTAAAATTATATTATGGCATGTGTATTATTATTTTTAGTTTTTAGAAATATTTTATAGAAAATGATGGACAACATATTTTAACTTTAGTGGCCGAATGAAATAACTTATGTTTTGACATCAGAAAATATTTTATTCCCTTAACATTAATATAGAATGTTCACATATATATAATAATCACAAACTTTTAAAAAATATGAATATATGGAATGATTCAAGTGATAATAATCATATAAAATTGTGAGAACAACAAATCTATGATATACAACTAGAGCTGTCAAAATGGGCGGGCCTGTGCGGGCCGGCCCGCCACAATCCGGAATTTTGTAGGGCTTGAGTATCATATTTGACACTTTTTAGTGAATCCAGGTTTTTTAGCCCGGCCCGACCGGACTATATTAAAACCGGGCTCGGTCCGGGCTTACCCGAGCGGGCTCGGGCTACCCGATTTTTATTTATTTTAAAACTTTTTTTTGAACATTTGACTTTGTAATAAGCTTAAAGTGAAAATTATTTTACAAAATAACTTATAATAAAAATAGATAATATATGATAAATATTGTGTTATGAACTTTGAATAAAAAATAGAGCAATGTCTATAACTTAAATATTTATAAATTACAATAATGTTATAAAGTTAAACATTATATTATTTTGCTTAATATCCTTTTAAGCACATTAGCAAAATAATGTATTAAATTAAATGAGAACATTAAACCATATAGATTTCATTTTTCTTTTCCTAATTGTATATTTAATTAGATTTAACTTATACAACAAAAACGTAATAAATAAAATAACTTTTAAAACGAATCACAACTTAATTGTTTACCATAGAGAATTCTACTCAACCAAATTTAACATAACAGTTCACAATGAAAACGTTGGTAAAGAATATACAAAAGATATCTGTAACAAAGTAAAGAGTTATTATGATGGTGGTTATAATTTGACACATAGACTTCATTCTGAATTTGAGTCTATACTATCATTACTACAAACCAAAGTGATATTATTTGTTAGTGTATCCATTTATTATATTGAAGTGAAGTTACAAATTATATTGTGTTAGAGGTTGAGAGTCTAATAACAATAAGATATTTAATAAATGAGTTATGTTATGAATCATATACGTAGATTTGACATCACGTCTTAACTTAAACACATGACATTATATCTATAAGTTTGGTTGTATTGGATATAACAATTGTGTTAAAAAAAGTTATGCATTAATATCAAATGTTATATATATATTAAATATATTAAATACATTAAAATTTAATTTTTTTAAATATTATGCGGGCCGGTCCGCCACAACCCGAAACCCGTTTAGGGCGGGTTTGGACTACATTTTCATATACATAAATTGTATCTGGGCTTTTTAGCCCGACTCGGTTTAGCCCGAACTCGATGCGGGCTAGCCCAAACCCGCACGAGTAGCCCGTTTTGACACCTATATATACAACCATAAATTAATAATTAAGATTTGAAGTGAATTAATAGTGACATGATCAATTAAAATATCATGTACGTTTATATTTTAATCATAACATTCAAATAAGATGATTCTTATTAATTATTCTTAATTTTAACAAGAACAATTATTTTCAAGTAAGACAATTCCTAAATGTATATTATGTATATATTTGTATATCTATTATATAATTAATATATATGAATTTAATTTTTTATATGTATATGTGTAGAGATAATCAATATATCTCACGGTTGTAACAATTCCAACTATATTTAACTCAATTCGTTTTGTTTATTTATGAAACTAAATATTGAGTGAAATTTTGAATGAATAATGAAATATTCAATTTTCTTGTGAGTTTTATATATATAATAAAAACATCTAATATTCATTAAAAATATTGTTTGAAGTATATTTGCACAAATAATAATATTAAATTCATTAAATACTATATCCTTAAATATCTTTAAGAAAATATGTTGTTATTCTTACATTGCAAAAACACATTCCTCGGTAAATATAATCATTATATTTGAATGATATTTATAATATTTTCTACAATATAGTTTATTTTTGCTAGTTATGAGTAGCAAATGGGTATATTTAGATGAATTTAGATCCTTAGACAATTTCAATAATAGGAGATATAGTTTGATAGGAGATACTTTGAGAATTAGGATCCTCCCCATTAATGGAGAGGTAAGTGCATTTTTTCCTTTGTTTTTAATGGCAAAATTGTAATTGTATTGTAATCAAAAGGATACATGCGTAACATTACATTTTCCATTGGTGGTTTTTAATGTACTTGTCTCTCAAAAAAAAGCCACATTATTTTAGTCCAAAATGATAGGAATAGAAAGAAAGAAGCAAAGTTGTCCTCGGTTACCACCTTCAAGTTGTCAAAACCTTCAATAAATATCACATTGTTTTGTTAAAAATCAAAACCAAAGTCATATCCACAAAAATGAGTTACTATAACCAGCAGCAACCCCCCGTTGGAGTTCCTCCTCCCCAAGGTCATTCCCTTTCCCTTCTACTATATATATATATATTATCATCTCTTTTATTTTTTGTTTCATTTTTGGATCTTCATGAATCTATGCCTCAAAGATCTGTGATTTTTATTATTTAAAATCTGTGTTCGTTTATTTTATTTGATTGGAAATAAATACAAGTTGTTAGAATTGATGAAATTGAAAAGCAGGATATCCGCAAGAGTATGGAAAGGGAGCTTACCCTCCACCTGGATATCCGCCGCAAGGATATCCACCACCGCAGTATCCGGCTCAGGGTTACCCTCCGCCGTATGCTCCTCAGTACGCTCAGCCACCTCCTCAACAAAATCAATCCAACTCTGGTTGCATGGAAGGCTGGTCAGTTCTCTCTCTCTCCCTATGAATGTTAAAGGATTACTGTAGCGGCGGTGAGTTAGATCGGGCCCGATCTGCGAGTTGACTCGTTCGTCGTCGCCGGCGCACTTTTAGTTGTAGATACATATATCTTTCTATATTTGTGACGTGTGAATTACTTATTATTTAATTTTCGGGTATGAGTCTCTGTCACGTTAACCCAGACTGGGCCCACCAACGTGCGATTTCTTTTTCCCAGTCTTACTTCAAGTTTTTTTTTGGGAATAATAAAATGGAATATCTTTTTTATTCTTAACGTATCCAATTTTGGATACAAATTCAACATTATGTAATTAATATTAAGATTACCTTCTTGGTATAATTGTGTTTCCTTAACCATAGTATAAGATTCTATGAGGGGATAAAAAATAATATTAAGATTACCAATTACTAAAAAACTGTGGTTTTTTATAGAGACCATCACACAAATGCTAATTTAGTTGAGTTTGTAATTTGTTGCAGTCTGGCTGCTCTTTGCTGCTGCTGTTTGTTGGAAGCGTGCTTCTGAGATCACATTAGCAACAGCGTGCACAAATTGGATTTACATGTCTATCTATCTCAACTTTTGAATACATTGAACATTGTTATATCTTTTTCTTCTTGATTGGTTTTGTGGTATTTTTTGTTTGTTGGTTGTCTAATTCTTATATTGTGAATGAATATGAATTGTCAGTGTGCTAATAATGTAAAGCTAGTTTTTTTAATGTAGTTTTAATATCTTTTTATTGTGTTTTCCTCGGATGGCTTTATACTCTGTCGATTGATACCCATGAAAGAGTTAGTTACCATAATCACGTTTCATTCGTGGCATGTATTTGAATACTTTTATTTTAACTCGAGTTCTGGCTCCTGGAAACGCTAGCTGGGGGTTATTGCCCTTATTGTGATTTGATTAGTTGAACGATGAAGCTATCAAAGCATAAATAATGAGCCAACATGGGGAAAAAAGAATCTTTGGTTCTGACACGAATTACACTCGACCTTTGTCAGCATTACATGGCCCTTAATGCGCATTACTGTTATTTATTCTGGAAAATGATTCCACGCCAATTTTCACACATGCTTTATTATCATTCATCATAAAATAGGTGCAAATGGAGTTTGGGGATTATTATTATTAGTAAACATGTGTTGGTGGAGTGACAGAATGTATTAAACAGCCTGTTCCACCTTGAAATATTTGTTTCTGATTCTGTATGCTTTGAATGACACACCACATTGCTTAAGTAGATGGGATACTAAAGTGGTTTAACTCTATTGATGGCCCATCCTTTTGTTAAATTCGTGTCAATAATTCTCATTCTTTCTATTTTAGGACTATCCTGATTTTAATTAAAATGCTGGAAGCATCATTGAGATTCTTAAATAGGAAACCTCATCACTCACAACTTACATGAGTTGTCCTATCAGCTAAACTTTTTAATAAGCACATTACCATTATAACATTGTATAAATAATACAATTTCTCTTGTGAAATTAGATGCTGTTGTATATAACAGTATAGCCAACATGATAATAGATTTAGACATTAAGCAACAATTCCCATGGCAGTGACATTCTCAGTCATAGAATTTTTCTCTACTTCATTCTCAAGCTGACTGTAATTCCCTTTCTCTTTGAAAAGTTGAATGTGATGGTGTTTGCAGTAGAGCTTCCCCTCATGTGTAACAAAGTTTGCTGAGTTTATAGTGCAACCTCCATAGGTACATTTGAAGCAGCCCTTATGATAGGGAGTACCATTAACCGTAACCTTTAATAGAGTAATAACAATGATCATAGTATTAATTGATCAAGAATAAAACAATCAGAAAGATAAGCTATTGTACTTTACCCTCTCAGTAGGATATACAGTCTTTTTGCAACCCGAAC